CAGAACGACCCTGTGGTTTGGGAGCTGAGAGATTCGTCATCGGTGGAGGAGACACTGGAGGTGTCGACCAGGAGAATTTTGGGCCTGGAGATGCATTGTTGGACCCCATTCGATTGTTTGATGGACGCGAAGGGAGAATTGTCGAGGACGTTGCAGATGATGGAGCATTTGCCCATGCGTCTCCTCCAAGCATGTCTGTACCACCAGAAGATCCCTGTTGCCCACCCCGTACGAGAGCTTCAAAGTCTGCCTCACCATTCCCATTGCTGGTGTCGAAGCCATTCGTGGTAGATGGGCCTCCAAACGTCATGAACTCGTTGCGTGTGGTTGCTGTCGAGCTATTTGCGCCCAACTCTTGTAGTTTCCGGGTCTGCTCATTCTCCACACGTGCTGATGTCGACTTGATGAGGCTCATGTATGCTTGGAATTGGGGAAGGTTAAGTAAGGGCCCCAAACTGAATTGCCACAGAATGGGCAGAACATCCATAGCTAGGAAATCGCTATCAACTGAATTGCTGATAGCCTTGAAGACATCTAGTGCAGCCATCTGTAATAGTTAGCTTTCTGTTTTGTGATTTGTTTGGTCAAACATACCATGACTGCGGGCTCCTTTGTCTTGATAGCACGGAGGAGCGGCACAACCTTTTCCTGGATGGTGTACTTGTCGAGGATTGATACATTGGAGCTTTTGGTCTTGGGGGCCGCTACCACACCAGTCAGGCCGTCACCCTGATAGTCGTCCTGCTGTTCATTTCCGCCACCACAAAGAGTCTTGAAAGCTTCCAGACCACGAATCTTAATACCCATACTGCTGGTCTTTGCAAATATGCTAGCAATAACAGGGAACAGCTCATTCTTAACAGTCGAGAAGTCAAGAATCGGCAAAACGACAGGTAGGGTACGCAGGGCCGCATCGACCAGAGAGTGAGTAGGAGACTCAAGAGCATAGTTGATAATAGGAAGGATATCATCCTTGAACTCCTTGCCACTGCAGTTATCCGCAGCGACCTGTATGTTTTCGAGCACAACCATGAGTCCGGCTTCCTTCAGACTGTCTCTTTCCTGACCTGGTGCTTTTGTATTTGTAGCCGCCGGATTCAAGAATGTCTCTCGCAACTTGGGAATGACCTTTTCGGTGAAAGCCTTTTTACCAGACGGAAGCATGGTGATGATCTTGAATACATTCTGAAGGATCAGCGTGAGGAGCTCGCGGTCCTTCATCTCCTCGAGCAAAGCCGGGAGTATCTTCTTGTCTACCACGGATTTTGGAAATTGGTTCAAAATGCGTGGTAGGCCCCTCATAAATTGTGACTTCTCATTGGGAGTCTTTGCTGGCAGCGAGTCGAGAAATCGAATCGTAGATACCAAGATGTTGTCAAAGTATTGTGCCTGTTGGAACTCTCGAGCGTCTATTCGTTGCGCAGGGCGCCTTGTAATCAGGCGATCCAGGACCCCGTTGGTAAGATCCCGTGGCAGTGGCTGTGAAGACATGAAGTTGTTGGTTTTGCTGGGCACTGAAGACGACGACGAAAAAGCCCGCTTGTATGAGGAAGAGCTTCCATTGAATTCAAGTGGGCTTTTGTGCGGCGAGTTGTATAGCGCGATTATGAGCATACCCAGACTGAACATGTCTGCTGCAGGTGTTATGTTGTTGTCCATGACGAAATCAGGCGAGGAGTAATCGAGGTTGAGCTGAACGTGTCGAGGGAGTCGGGCATCGTAGTTGAGGACTTCGGCAAGTGAAATCGGCGTTACGGACGTGGGTTTCGTAGAGTTCTCCGGAGGCGTTGCGAAGCCTAAACCTGATATTTTCCAATCAGACTATCACCGCGATCAGTAATTTGGGGCATGTATAGCATTGCGACTACCTACTTTAGCGTTGATAAAGATGGCGTCAGGCGTTAGGTTGGCATGTACCAAACCAGCGCTCTCATGCAGAAACTCCAGTCCTTTTGCAATCTGTAACAAGCCCTTCTGTATCTCGAGTTCGTCAATCTCGAATTCGCGCCTGCGTTTCTGGCCGTCTGCTTCTTCGATGACATAGCGACTGCGACGTCCTCCAACACCACCAGCCTTCTCTTGTTCGTCCTTTTCCAGTAACAGGCCAGAAAGAGAGGCTGTGACAGGCTCCGTTGCAAACATGAGGCCTCCGCCGCGCGTTTCCTCAACAGGTTCCACTAACTCCAAGACACTCGGGTGCCGTAATCTAGCGAGCGAGCTGGCCTCTTTCTTGAGCCGTTCAACCACCTCCTCATGCGCCCGCTTGAGCCCCGAAGCTGCAGAGCGGCCGCCGAAGCCGGCGCCAGCAGGCGGTTCCAACGACTTCTTGTCGAAGATAAAGACGGAGGCCGCCTTGCCCGTTGATTTCTTCTTGGCGTCGTATATCTTCCATGGCCCTGAATAGGATGTGGGCTGCGGACTGAGGGTGTAGTTGCTCGAGATGTTGGAAGTGAAGGACTTTAGGGCGTTGGAGAACATGGTGCCAGTAGTCTCGCCCGCGCAGCAATGTCGTGGGTGTAGGGCGAGGGCGTCATGGACTGTGGCTTCTTAGGCTTGGATTCGCGTAAGAGTCTGAGACAGCTGGGCCCGAGAGATCAAATTCCAGGCATCTCAGATGGCAACCCTCTTTTCCACGCGGCGCTCCGAACCGTCTCGGCTGCTAGCGGATCGTCAATGTAGGCACGTTGAATGATAGTTGAAGCCAAGTGTTAGACCCCACGCGAGCCACGGTCCAGGGGTGTCTTTTTAGTGTACGTCGCGTGCATGAACACGACGCTGTGTGTACAGGTATGCCGCCGCCGCCACAGACGCATCAGCACTCTAGGCAATGACGCGAATAACCTCAAATATCCGCCTTGGTAGTCTCCATCCTTCGGCCACGCCCTTTCGCATGTGGCGGTGAGGCCGGGCGTTTGTAATTCGATATGACTGTTCGCATCGCTGGCTGGTAGGGGCTCCGATTACGTCTAGACCCCAGTCAGGTCGCATAGTCCGAAAGAATAAACCTTTGACACGACTTGCAACTCCCATCCACGTTCACATCTATTCGGCTTGTGCATCATACATCACAATGCTTCAGCAGCGGTCTTCGCGATTGATCTCCTCGCTGTCCCATTGTGCGTTCCGCTCGTCAGCAGCACCGCTCAGCGCCTCGCTGCGATGTCGGACGAGCAGGCCGTACAGCATACACGCCGATGTATCTGTTGGCGAAAAGATTAGGGACATTGATCCCACCAAGCTCAGCATCACCAGGACGACCACACCAAAGGACCTGTTGCCTCCAGAGGAACTCGTCTTTGGTCGTAATTTCTCAGGTAAGAGCCCCTGCCGCAGTAGACCATGTAGTAGACTGCAACTGACACACAATTCTCAGACCATATGCTCTCGCTCGAATGGACAGCAACCCAAGGATGGCTTCCAGCGCGCATCACGCCCTACCAGAACCTCAGTCTCGACCCCGCGACCTGCGTCTTCCACTATGCATTCGAGTGCTTCGAGGGCATGAAGGCCTACAAGGATAAGAGCGGCAACATTCGGCTCTTCAGGCCGGATAAGAATATGGCCAGGCTGAACAAGTCATCTGCCCGAATTGCATTGCCTACATTTGACCCAGATGCCCTGACTGAGCTCATTGGCAAGTTTGTCAAGGAGGACGAGCGGTTCGTTCCCGAGTAAGTTCACTCTTGAGCCCTGTGTACATCACCACGCATACAACTAACCACATGGCAGTGCACGAGGATACTCTCTCTACCTTCGCCCCACCATGATCGGCACTCAGCGCACACTCGGTGTAGGCCCTCCGGCTTCGGCACTGCTCTACGTGATTGCTTCGCCAGTTGGCCCCTACTATCCCACCGGCTTCAAGGCCATTTCGCTCGAAGCCACAGACTATGCTGTGCGCGCATGGCCAGGAGGTGTCGGTGACAAGAAGCTTGGTGCCAACTACGCGCCATGCATTGTACCACAAATGCAGGCTGCAAGCCGTGGATTCCACCAGAACTTGTGGTTGTTTGGTGAGGAGGAGTACATTACCGAAGTAGGCACCATGAACCTGTTCGCTGCGATCAAGAACAAGGAGACTGGAAAGCCAGAGCTGCTCACTGCGCCGCTCGACGGTACCATTCTCGAGGGAGTCACACGCGACTCTATTCTCGAGCTTGCGCGAGAACGCTTGGTGCCCAAGGGCTGGACTGTGACTGAGCGCAAGTTCACCATGAAGGAAGTGGCCGATGCCGCTGATGAGGGACGCATGATGGAGATCTTTGGCGCAGGAACCGCGGCCATTGTCGCCCCAGTCCGAAAGATCAGCTGGAAGGGACGTCTCATCGACTGCGGGCTCGAGGATCACGTTGAAGCTGGACCTGTTGCTCAGCAGATGAAGGAATGGATGGAGGCGATCCAGTATGGTGACGAGGACCACCCATGGAGGTATGTGCACTGCAATTACAATGCTAATGTCGATCAATTGCTAACACACAACAGCTACAAGGTCCTTTAAACAAGGAGAGGCTGATCAAAAGTCATGCTGTCTTTTGCGTTATTTCTCTATACAGGTCATGAGACGGATAGACGTGATGAAGGACATTGCGGGGCTATGGATGCGTGGGGTGATGCGAAGAATTATAGAAGGCAATGTCCTTGCAGTAGACTAGAGGTGCCTCAACCACGCGTTTGTATCTGTGCCAATTCAGCCAAGTCTTGACTGGGCGGGCGAAGTAATGTCGTGTCGAATATGAGGGTGAATGCTGAGCCCATGTACCTGGATGGATGGATGAATGTATGTATGACGTTCCCACATGGGGCATTATTAGCATGCAGCTAGCTCCCGAGCTCCTCTGCACGCTGTTTCCTCTCCGCCCGCTGCCCTCTGCCGCCTGCTCTCCGCCCACACGCTCAGTGCACCGCCGACTGTCGCCAATTGCCCGCCAGAGCTGCGCTGCCCGCCCCTTTGACATTGCCAGTACACGTCCCATTGTATCCCCCCTCGCGCAATTCGCACAATGCTGGCCGGCGCACTCTGCCGCTTGGCAGCCGACGTCCCCAGGGCGTCCCCACACAATGTGCCGCAACTCGCACGCCACCTCGAGCGCGTGCTCGTTATTCGCAGCGCCGCTGAATCCTCCCCCGCCCGCGCCTCGTCGCGCGCCTACGCGTATGCCCGCTCCTATGCTACGACTACACGCGCAACCAAGCCCACGGCCACGGTGAAGAAGGCGGTCAAGGCGGCCGCAAGCGAAAAGACCCCGCCAAAGAAGAAGAAGGCTGCGCCGGCAAAGACGACTGCAAAGAAACCAGCAGCCAAAAAGACAAAGAAGAAGCCAGCAGCCAAGAAGCCAGCGGCCAAGAAGGCGGCCCCGAAGCGTGTGAAGAAGGTACTGACCGAGGAAGAAAAGGAGAAGGCCAAAATCCGTGAGCTGCGCGCAAAGGCCTTGAAGGAGCCCGTCGGGCAGAGGCCGGTCTCGGGCTACAATGTCTTTGTTGCTGAGCTCCTCAAGGGCAAGCCAAGAGGTAGCGAGACTCAAACGGCTAAGATCACAAATGCTACTAAGGAATTCAACAACCTATCACCTGCACAGCTCGAGGTAAGAGACTACAGCTCCAGCCAACACCTGCCTCATACACGTGTGTACTAATGGCCATGCTTAGCACTACAACCACCTTGCCAACGAGCAAAGTGCCGCAAGGAAGGCCGAGTTCGACAAATGGATCCAGTCCCACACCCCGGAACAGATCCGCATTGCCAACCTTGCTCGCGCCCAGCTGCGCAGGAGATTCGCCGGCAAACAGAAGGGTAACCCCGCCTACACTGCCAAACTACACGATCCCCGCCGCGTCAAGGCCGCGCTGAACCCCTACGCCTTGTTCTTCCGAGCCAGACACGCCAGCGGTGACTTCAAGGGCATCTCCGCTGTCGATGCCTCCAAGCTCATTGGTGCTGAGTGGAAAGCATTGAACGAGAGTGAGAAGCAGGTACGTTCTTTTTCGCCAACTGAAAAGTTAGCGTACAAATCATGGTACTAATGTGAGAATCAGAAATATCACAGCGAAGCCAACGCTCTAGCTACCAAGCAGTAAAGACGTAAATACTATATATGTAACACAATTACCGCCCTTGCACTACATTGAGCAGGTTACCTTTTCAACACCCATCAACTTGCCTTTGTTCTGCTTCCACACTACACTCTGTGCGACTGTAGTCCCTTTGTTTTCCTTTGTATGCCGGTTAGAAGGTTTTAAGGGAGGGGGGGGGGGAATGTAATACCACTGTACACCCATCTAGGCTGGCTACTAGATCTTTGGCGGTCGGTTTTTCTTCAAGGTCAGGCTAGGTTCAAGGAATTGAATGAGGGTTATACGATTACTGTATGTAGCTGAGACATGTTTCCAATGAGTTTATCCCCTTATTTTGGTTTTAGTTTTCTTGTGTTTTGAAGGTCTAATGGAAGATGGGTCTACGCGAGTGTATGGAGTGTTGTGACTTGCCGTTTTTCCCCCTTTACAATCAGACGTCTAACGCGTCCTTTCTTTTTCTTCTTCTCTACTTTTGCCCCATGAGGCTTTTTTATCACACCATAGCAGTTCGTCACAAATACAAGACTAATCGCATGACATGCATGGATGTACCCCGCAAAAAAGCAACCAGTAAGCAAAAAACAATCAGAGTAAAAACAAAACTTACACGTCTACCCCGCCTGTCAAAACATACCAGACAAACACTCATACATGCATCTACACACACATGTTGCCAAAAGTAGTTTAGTAACATCAAATTCACTCGTCGCTCCATTCACAGCACAGCACAGCACGAAACTTATTCCACATATGATAATTGATTACAGCATCTTTTCGCTAACAAGAAGTTTCAAGGAGAATGGTGCCGTTGCCCGTGACGATGCTTTGTCGCGGGAATCAAGACTACCACTCCCGCATCATTGCACCCCCATAGAGGCACGACCCGATTGCTCACAGTACGAATCGAATTGATAACATGGTTGTTGGCCCGCATTCGCAATGATCCAACAGCCAAGCCCAGCAGGGATATTTAGTCTTGACCACTCTACTCCTCAGCCTCGAGAGGAGCCTCCTCGTCATACTCCTCCTCACCCTCGGAGACGGAAGCCTCCTGGTATTGCTGGTACTCGGAGACCAAATCGTTCATGTTGGACTCAGCCTCAGTGAACTCCATCTCGTCCATACCCTCACCAGTGTACCAATGCAAGAAAGCCTTGCGCCTGAACATGGCAGTGAACTGGTCACCAACACGCTTGAACAGCTCCTGGATCGAGGTCGAGTTACCGACGAAGGTGGAGGACATCTTCAGGCCGCGAGGAGGAATGGAGCAGAGGGCGGTCTGGACGTTGTTGGGGATCCACTCAACGAAGTAGGAAGAGTTCTTGTTCTGGACGTTGCGCATCTGGTCCTCAACCTCCTTCATCGAGACCTTACCGCGGAAGTAGGCGGAGCAGGTCAGGTAGCGACCGTTGCGGAAGTCGGAAGCAGCCATCATGTTCTTGGGGTCGAACATTTGCTGGGTGAGCTCGGGAACGGTGACGGCGCGGAAGGAGTGGGCGCCACGGCTGGTAAGAGGAGCGAAACCAACCATGAAGAAGTGGAGACGGGGGAAGGGAACCATGTTGACGGCAAGCTTCCTCAGGTCAGAGTTGAGCTGACCGGGGAAACGCAGGCAGGTGGTGACACCCGACATGACGGCGGAGACGAGGTGGTTCAGGTCGCCGTAGGAGGGGTTGTTCAGCTTGAGAGTCCTCATGCAGATGTCGTAGAGAGCCTCGTTGTCAATGCAGAAGGTCTCGTCGGAGTTCTCAACCAGCTGGTGGATGGAGAGTGTGGCGTTGTAGGGCTCGACAACGGTGTCGGAGACCTTTGGCGAGGGCACAACAGAGTATGTAGCCATCATGCGGTCGGGGAACTCCTCACGGATCTTGGAAATGAGAAGCGTTCCCATACCGGCACCGGTACCACCACCGAGAGAGTGGGTGATCTGGAAACCCTGGAGGCAGTCGCAGCCCTCAGCCTCGCGACGGACGACATCGAGGACCTGGTCGACGAGCTCGGCACCCTCGGTGTAGTGACCCTTTGCCCAGTTGTTACCAGCACCAGACTGGCCAAAGACGAAGTTGTCGGGGCGGAAGAGCTGGCCAAAGGGGCCAGCGCGGACGGCGTCCATGGTACCGGGCTCGAGATCAACGAGGACGGCACGGGGCACGAACTTGTTGTTGGAGGCCTGCTGCAGATCAGTATTGGTCTTTTTTTCCGTCGGACCTTCAGGGGGCGACACACTTCGTTGAAGTAGACATTCATGCGCTCGAGCTGGAGGTCAGAGGTGCCGTTGTAGACACCAGAGCCATCGAGACCATGCTCGCCGGAGATGGTCTGCCAGAAGGCGGCACCAATCTGGTTACCCTGCAGAGTCTGTTAGAAGCCGCGTCGACGACTTTTGCTGGGAGCGAAAACATACGCATTGACCGGTCTGAAGGTGAACCTGTAGTAGAGAATGGCTGTTAGCTGTCTTGTTTGCAATCTCGTGTTGTCCCTGAATGCAGATCGCGGGGCAAGGTTGCGCCACGCGCTGGACCCGAGGGAGGGTCGGATACGTACAATCTCACGCATGATGGCGGTTTGGGGTGTGTGATATGGAAAGTAGAGAGGTGAGAGTGTGAGGAGCTGTGTTTGGGGCGGGTGGATGGGTGTTGGTGATGTGGAGAGGCGGTGTGAAGGGGAGCAGTTAAACAAACTGTGCGGGTCTGCACAGGCCAGGCCCCCTCGCGTCGGCGCTAAGCACAACAGGCACCAGCTTTGTACATAATCTGGTGCTACTACCGATATGTCCACGCACAACAAAGGGCATAAGCAAAGGCCATGTCGAGCGCTGCACCGTGTCCATCTACACGTATACCTGCATCTACACCTACATTTACATCTATCCGTCTATAGATTGGCTTCATTGCGCATGCCGAAAAAAAAGAAAAAACTAACAGCATCCGACAGGTACCAGCCAGTAGTTGCATGTAGTAGTACGCCCATGGCAACCCCAGCATACTACGCTTCCTTCTTCGCATCCCTTCCTCTAGCCCTTACCTCGGGCACCGTCCACACATTTGGCCACTGCAACTCGTACTCGTCCTGTCTGTAATTAAGACAGTGCCTGAGCCAAATGCCCCACACAATGTAGAAATATGCCCCAAGCCCAGTCATCAAGTGCCTGTCTGTGTCAGTCTGTGTCACTGCAAGCACGTTGCGCATACGCACCACCATCCATGCCCCTCGAGCACGAAGCCCCAAGGCATGCCGACTTGCCTCCGCCACCGGATCAGCCGCGAGCAGAACACGTTGTCAAGATTCCAGATGGCAAACCCACCCAGGAAGATGCTGAGGCCAAATGCAATCATCTTCCACATGGTGCTCAGAATCTCTTCGTCTCGCTGGTTTTCCTGTCGCACTGCCTTTGCACTCCCATCCAGACGCGGGTTCGCTGCCTCTCTCTCCTGCGACCGGAAGCGCGGTCGGATATTGACCTCCATTACGTAGAGGGCGCGAAAGAACACAACTGCTGTAAGAACTGCGTATGCATTCTGGTGAAAGGTTGGATCTTGCAGATAGTGGTAGTAGAGCGTGATGAACACGGCAAGCGACGTGAGGCAGATGGCGAGTACCGTGGAATACAGTCGTGACTTGCCGTAGGAGAACGTGGCATAGTTCATTAGACATGTCGTGTAAATCATCGAAAGCTCATCGACAAGCTGCATGGGGTCTGTCGTCATCAGGAATGGGTTCACAGCGTTCCTTCCCCCTCTCTCTCCCCTTCTCTCTGCTGCTAGACGTACACTTCAATGTCGCGTGAAACAATAAACTGCCGCTCCCGACAAGCAAATAGCCAACAAAGCTAACAAGAAAGACTGTATCGTGTCCATACTTCAAGCAGCTGCGAATGCCCTTTGTAGCTAGGTATACGAACAAGAGGTTGGTAAAGGTATTCACCGCTTCAGCGACAAAATGTGTAACAACATAGTTCTTGATGCAGTCTTGTCAGTAACGCACACTGCTAAAGATATTCGTCAGATGCAATCAACACACCTCCTCACACCAGTCCAGTGTGCTTGTTACCGGAGAAAAGTAGCCATCTTGTTCAGGCGGATACGCTATTGACGGTAGTTGAGAGAGCAACCCAGACATATTGGCGCCGAAAGGGAATAGCGAAGATGGGCAAAAAAAGAATGAAAAAAAAATGGATGAGCTACCACGCGTTCAATGCTGGATGATCACAGTTATACGTATCTAGTCTCGGACTTGCCGGAAGTGGGAGCCTCCCGAAAGCCGGTTACAACACAACACAGCATTAGAAAAAGGAAATTTGGATACGAAATAGCGAAACGACCGCAAGGTTACATTTAAAACTTGGGCCATTTAATCAATTGAGTTCTGAATGCTTCGTCTCAAATATCCTCGATATGACCCCGCGTTGTTGTAGCCCTCAAGGTCGCCTATCAATGTGACGACGACAGCAACCGAGGCGACAGTTGCTGCAAGTATACGATGAAAGGAATTGTAGTACTATAAAATATGCATCTCCTACAACCTACCTGCAACCTTAGCCTTTCCCAAATACTATCAACATTCATCCTAGCCCATTTATTATGAGGGGCGCCAGCGTAACCCGCACCGGCCAATCACAACCCCGCCACCCACCGAACCGAGTTTGAACCACCCATTCCCCCCGTCGCCCTTACTTCACGAGCCCCAGTCAGGGTCGTGGCAGTCCCCATTAGCCCAACCTCCCAAACACTCGCAAACATGTCCATGCCCAACGAGGCCTTGCAAAAGGTGCGTTTAGTCTTCTACACGCATAACATCGAGGAAATAATGTTTTTTCGTGCGTTGTACCTGACACACACACCAAAAAAACACAGGTCCTACAGGAAATCAGCCAGAAGAAGGCATTTGCCGAACAACAACTCGTCATCGTCAAGCAGCAAAAAGCAGCTCGAGCAAGAGAAAGCCGCATGTTGCAGCTTACCTCGTCCGAGGTGTCGTCGCTGCCTGCAGACACAAAGGTGTACGAGGGTGTCGGAAAGATGTAAGTCACACATATATCATCATGCCTTGTTTTGTCTCGTGACGGCGGGGCGTCGGAAGAATATGAAGAAAAGATAAGAAGGGAGCTAATCTTTCGAATAAAGGTTCGTCTGCACGCCCATCCCGGATGTGCAAAAGAGGTTGGAGCAGGAGAGCGAGGCGCTGACTAAAGAGATGGCGAATTTGGATAAGAAGGAGGATTATTTGGAGAAGACGTATGCGAATAGTAAGAGTAGTCTTGAGCAGGTGCTCAAGGGAGCGGCTTGAGCTTCATCATTATCTGCATAGCGTATCGAGGCCATGAGAAGCCTCAAGTACTACCAAGGTCAAAGCAAGAGAGCGTATGAGGATGCATTGGTATGCCCGTTGCAGCAGCTCTCGACATGAACGCTTTCATCAATGAGTAGAACACAAGATGATGCTAGAAATGTACGACTCCATTGTATATCTGAATGCATACCATTGAAAACCTGCAGATGGCACCCATCTATCACACCCATAACGCATATATGCACCTATATCAAACTTTTCAATCTCCGTCTTTAACCTACCTCATCCTCACAAGCATACTCTCCACCCCCTCAATACACTTCCTCACCTCCTCCGCCGCCCTTGCCACATACGCCCCATCCACGACCCTATGATCCGCACTCCAGCTAAACACGCACTCCTCCTTCTTGATCAACTCCCCATTCTCTCCAAATGCAGGCACAACCCTCGCTTTGCCAACACCCAGTATACCCACTTGCGGGCCTACGATGACGGGCGCAACGGTACCGCCACCGATACTGCCAATGTTACTGACTGTAAACGTGGCGCCGGTGAGATCAGCGGAGGTGAGCTTGCCGGAGCGGGCGAGAGAGCTCAATCGTTGGATCTCTTGTGCGAGGGATGCGATACTGTGGTTTTGCACGTTCTTGATGACGGGGACGAGGAGGCCGGAAGGTGAGTCGACCGCAACGCCGATGTTGTGGCTTCCCTTTAGGATCATCTGCGGCCTGTCGGGGTTCGTGCTCGTGTCAAGGTGCGAGTTGAGCAAGGGGAACTGCTGGAATGCTAGGGACACGGCTTTGATGATTACCGGTAGTGGCGTGATTCTGTCTGCCTTTTCGCGGCCTGCGTTGTATTTTTTGCGTAGCGAGGTGAGGGAGCTGAAATCTACCGAGTCGGTGTAGAGGAAGTGTGGTATTGAGAGGGATTTGGTCATTTGTTTGAACATTCCGGATTGTACGGGTGTGAGGGGTTTGATCTGGTCTTCCAGTTGCTGGGTTGGGATGGGCATGGGCGTGGGCGTTGTTGTTGCGCGTGGTGCGTTTGCAGTCTGCTTAGCAGACTCGATGTGCCGTTGGACATCTTCTTTGAGCACACGGCCTTCCCTTCCTGTGCCTTGTATGTCCTCGATTTTGAGCTTGTGTTCCTTGATCATGTGCCGTACTGCCGGTGTAGCAAGGGACGCATATTTGCCCGGTTGCCGTGGTGTTGGCGACGCCGCTGCTTGAGATGACTCTGATGGCAGAGCCACGCTCTGATCTGACTTTGGGATATGGTCGGTAGCAGCCTTGGTATCATTGCGACCAATCTCAATCCCCTGTTCTTGTGCCTCTGTCGCCCTTGATGGTTCTTCCTTTGGTTGTTCGCCTGAACCACCGTTAAGCAGGGCTTCGTCTGCAGCAGAGATCTCGCTCTGAATATCAATATCTACCAATGGCTTTGAAAGTCAGCTTAGCTTTGGAAGAGGTTTTGGGGAACAAGACTACCTTTCCAACCTTGGCCATGTCGTCCGGCTCGTAGTACAGCTTCTTAATGACGCCATCGAATCGCGAGGTAATCTACTCATATTAGCCGTTGCTCAGCGCATAAATGAACTTTCTTTTACCTCAACCGACGCTTTGTCCGACTGCACTTCGCAAATGGGGTCAAACTGCTCGACGCGCGCTCCAGGCTTGACGAACCACTGGATAACCTGGCATTCGGTGATACCTAGACGCAACATGCTCAGCCTTGACCAATGTGTATATTCGTTAGCATATTCACCTTCGCCAATATCCGCCAGCAAGTATGGCTTGACCACCAGCAGCCCTCTTGTTTCCCGGAATCCTCTTCTTTGCTCGTATACGCGGATGTTGGCGCTCCTCCGTCCGGCAATTGACGCTCGCTGGGCAAGGTTTGGTCGGGAAAAGAGGCGCGACGCTTCTCTGCTTGCAAAGGACTTCATGGTGGATAGAGTGTGTCAACAAATCTTCTCAGTGGAAAAAACATATCCAAGTGCTGCCGCCGAGGTGTGGTGTTTGTGAGGGCTCTAAGCCGACCGGTTAGCGGCGGGTAACGCTAACAGAGGTACATTCCAATCCCCGAGCCAAGCTGGTTACATCACATACCCCATAACTGCTATGTCCTAGCGTTAATTGATATAACCGGGCGCGTAGTACCGTTATAGGATGCTGTGATCTAGTTGTACAGCTCTATACATAGTTGCACCTCAGCAGGTAGCGTCTTTCTGGAAATTCACCTGTGACGGACAGACATCCTGGGTACATCTGACAGAACCAGAGCAAGTGCATCGAACTCTATAGATTTTCCGTACCAAACAAGTATGTTCCAGTGCAAATATGTCACATCAAAGATAGCTTCTTTTGTGCGAAATTCCGCTTAACGAATTGTTCGAAGTATTTGTTTACGTATTTCGATGGACCAAGAGCCCACTCAGTTCTACAACTTTAATCGCAGTGACATCAAACCAGTGAACACAATCAAGTAGTCAGAGACTATAAACAAGACTAGCGATACGATATGGTGGAGACAGAGGTTAGATGAACGAATGTCCATCATACTACCTAACAGGGGACCCTAGACCTCTGTACTCCGCGCCAGCGCCGTTTCCGGACTACTAGCATCGTCCTCATTATCTTGAACCTAACCTGTTTTACAATACTCTAGAAGCATTCTTTACACAGCATGTTTTCGCTATGTCATTGTGCGTTCTGATGACTAACAGTCGCCGCGCTATGATTCCAGATGTCATACAGCATGTATGCGGATATATCCGTCGGCGAGACAATCGGGAATATTATTGCTTTCATTAAGCTCATCACGCAAAGCTTCTTCTTGTGGCTGCTTCTCTCATAATTGTCGCATCGATGCGCCTTCTAACACCATCTCCACTCTTGATGTTGTTGTTAGGCCAAGGCACATGTCTCTTCAAGCAGTTGAAGGGTAGTAACAGGACAACTACAGAGCAGACATCACTACCGATACTTTGACTAAGCTTTGATAGTAGCCGTCCTACTGGGTCTTCTCGTTGGGGATCACCCCGCGTCTAAGTTATTGATTATCGGCAGGGTCCCTTCCAACATGCTTGCATAGGAGATGATCATCGTGCAATCAGCCCATGTCGTCAGTATGTCCTTTAGAAATTCTTAACTATAAATTTGATTACCGGGTAACAACCACAAGCGTCATGGAGCATCCGAGTCATCCGGAAATCTTGTATTCGGTACTCAAGTTCTGCGTGTTAAGTATTCCGTGTTCCCTCGACATCTGCAGTAGTGGCGTACTATGTGCTGATCTCGACCGCATCAATCGAACAAGTGTATATTGAATACACCAATTCTCTGATTTCCGTCAACAAGCAGACACAACCCGGCACATTCCTAGTATGATGGTCAAAACGCTAGCAGCATTGGCCTATGTGACCTTTGCGTCGGCTGCAGACTACTGGGAAACACAGCCAGGTGGCTACCGCCCTTTTGGATCTGAATTTACCAATGGCGCCTATCCCCAAGACTTCACTCTCGTTGGAACGCCTCTGGAGCCAGTTCACGACTCTCAAAAGCCTGCCACTGGACTAGCCATCGACTCGGCTCACCAGCTCTACCTGACATATCCCCGCAACAGCGGACAGACACCCAACAACGTTGTGATTTGCACTTCTTTCAACGATGAAAAGCCATGGCCCAACGCAAGCATACAGAACTGTACGGCCGGGCAAGATCCAAGCACATGCTTCATCAACGTACAGAACATCATCTTGGATGATCGAGGACGGCTCTGGATTGTTGATAGCGGTATTCCTTACAACGCGACCCCCGAAACCCATGCTATTTTCGGAGGTGCAAAGCTGATGAGTTTCGATGAAAAAACGGGCGAGCATCTTCGAACCTATGTAATACCCGAAAAGCTATTGTCTAATCGGACGGACATGAATGACCTACGCATTAACACTACTCTTGGCGGGAAGGAAGGGTTTGCTTTTATTGCAGATGCCAGTGCGAAAAGTTCGCTTCTAACAGTCAACCTTGATGATGGAAGTGCTCTGAGGAGGCTATTCAACACCAGCATTGTCCAAGCAGACGAGAACTATGTTGGTTCTTATGCTGGTAAGCTTGTTTACACCTGGAATGGGACGAAGAAGGGCCATCTTACCACCGGAGCAGACGGAATCGCATTGGGTGAGTGCTGTTGGTTCGAAACAACATCCTACCGCTGACAGCAAAAACAGCATCTGGTAACTTTTACTGGGGCGTCCTGGCATCCCGACGCTTTTACTACATCTCCCAGGAGGTTCTTGTCGACCCCAAAAAGACGGACGAGGAGGTCCTTGCTGCAGTACAGTATCCAGGTCAATGCGGTTCGGAGCAGGCTGGCTTCACCGCTGACGACCGGGGACGTGTGTACATTGCTGCAAGTGAGCAAAACGCGATATACTATGTCGACACCCTCAAGTCTGAGATTAACACGACTATTAATGGCAACGCACCTGGTGGCCCTGGTCTTATCCCAGCACAGGATTATGTAGTGAATGTGCTGGCGAGGAGTGCTTTGATTCAACATGCTGACTCAATGGCTATTCTGGATGGATGGTTATACTTTAACACCAATCAGCTTATGTTGGGTCCGAAATTTAACTACAACAATGTTGATAAGAGACGCGGTCCGTTCCGGAGTTACAGGATTTGGATTGGAAGAGGACCTGCTGTTTGAAGCCGACAAAGGTATGGTTGGGTATCGGGTCCATGTCTTGAGCCTCTGCTATACGGAGACACATTTTCCATAGGGGCGAGAAATACACAACCTGCAATCATAATTCCTTATGCTAGAAGCATGCATATTGTAGCTGTCCAGTGCTGCTATATTATCTAACATATATTCTCACAGACACCACCTTTTTTGAAACGAAGAGGGCACGTTTCTTAACTGAATTCCCTGCCTCTTACATGGCCATGGCGGAGATTTAGATGCTATTGATAGTCTCAGTCCCTTACCAAAATTACTTGCAAAAGCGGGACAACGGCAAGGGGTGGGAATCAATAAAGATTACTTTTATTAGACACTAAGAAACGTGGTTGTAGCGGGATAGCGACAGGGATTACCACGTATGACAATGACTGCCTCTTTTGATCAACCCTTCTGGTGACTGACTTGGTTCTTCTTATTCGGAAAGCAGGGGTTGCTTTTATGAATCGAGATGGCAATCGGGGAATGACGTGGTAGCGCGGGAGATGGAGTGCACGAGCCTTCGTGATTCGTGACACGCGTTTGGCGGAGGGCATACCCAAACCGTTTCGAGAATCGACGACGGCCTTCGACAGCCCACCAACAACCATGCCCAGGTCCAATGTCGGCATACGCATTGCAAACAAAGACAATGCTACAACCTGTTCCAGATACGCAAACACAACTGCTGCGATTAGCCACCAAACATGACGAAACAAAACCCCAACTGCCCTCGAAACTCACCAGAGACTCTCTCTGTGGCCTCGGAGCCTTCAATAAGCCTTTTACGATTCGGCCGTATTCCGGATCACCGCACGCTAAGACTGTGACGTTCAAGCCCGTCCGGGTGGTTGGGCGTTCTCAACTGCCTCTTACACTCCTCGATACCTCTGCCGACGACGACTTCGCTCCAAACAGCCTCTTCGCCGCTCATGTCGATATCTTGGAACAGGATGAACTGGAAAAGGAAGAAGATAGGGTTTTGAGGGTGCTTATTGCACAGCTGGAGACGAAGAAGAGTCTATACGCAATAGAGAGGGTAAAAGTACGCATATACAGTATTTGCAAGCTGGTAAGCTGGTTGAAAGAGAAGGATGTTGCCGACTTGTGGGATCCAGGCAATCTGCATAAACTTCCTATAAGAACCAGGGTGGATACAAGCACAAGCACATCTGGGGAATGGTGGCAGCATGCTGCAATAGAGACACAGGCCGTGGAGCCATTAATAGGACGCACCAGGATGGGTATGCTTCGATCAAAGCCCACACAAGTGCCTGACGCAATGGATGCCCAGCAGCCACAAGGAATTCCAGCACTGCAGGATATGGACAGCCTGGATAGTGTACCAACAGAGTCCCTGCTTGAGCCACTACCAGCACCACTGTCACCACAAGAACAGCTTGATTTACTGGTGCAGCAATATCTGGATGCAGTTTACATGTCCAAAACATCGCTCGCATACTTTGCCAAAGGACCCCTCACTCGAATTCGGAATGCCTTCACCTTGGCTGAAGAAGGCGCACCTCCTACCCATGATCTTATCACATCCCTACGAGCCATGCTGCTGAGTCCCAAGGCCAGTGAAAAAAAGTATTATGAGAAATTACCGTCATTCATCAAGGCCATGGCACCAGGGAGCTATTCGGATGATGAGACCATGGCAGGAGCCAGCAAAGCGAAGAAATCAAAGAAAAAGGCAAAGCTCAGCCGAGATGGTGTCTATCCACAAGAAGAGGTTCTGGTCAAGAGATGGTGGCAGTCCGAGTTACCCAGTGGTGATGCAATGGCTACAGAGACTATGGACCAGCGTATCAAGAGGCGGATTGGCGATTTACGAGTTCGCGAGACGCTAGCGCAACTGATACTCATGCTTGAGATTATCGCACTCGAAGCAATGTCTACGAGCAAAACTACTGGCCAGCAGCCCACAAAAGAAGAGACGCAGGACCAAAGCGAGCAATCTGCACCGAAGAAGCGCAAGAAGAAACTAGACGACATCAACGTACAACTCGACTTGGCGCTGGATAAGCTTTGCATATGGCACGCTACCGAAGAACTTGGAATCCTGGACTTTGACGCTAAGCCATCGCAACAAAATGAGGACGTGGATGGCACTGGCCGCAATGGATCCAGTGATCGCCTTCATAGCTTCTGTGTCGAAGTCATAATACCTTTTTACATTAACCGACTTCCCGAACAGGCGCTAATGGTTAACAAGAAGCTCGGTGGACCAGCGCACAGCTTGCCAGCCAAGCGAAAGGCAAACAGACCAACACTCAGCTCACGTAGATCAAGAGATTCGAAGGAACCGGATGCAAAGAAATCACGGCGATCTCTGGCACGCGTGGCTACAGACAATACAGGAAGGATTGCCGAGCGGACAACGCCATCTTTGGGCCGATCAGCTACGGATTCGGTGTTGGTAGAAGGCGTAAAAAGAGAAGCAAGCGAGACGCCTCTGTCTGCAATTCCTTTTCGTCGCAGTCCGTCGAAGGGAGCAAGACAATCCATGTCGCAGATTCGACACTTGCAGGGGCGTCAGATTGATTTGGCTGAGCCGTCAGCAGCTGCATCAGCCAAGATGAAGCAGAAGCAGCGAGTCGAGGAAGACCTGCAAGAGGCTATCCTAGCCCTAAAGAGGCCGAATCGGGGACTAGCTGCTGGGGAGTACATTGCCGATAAGGAGCAACGTGGTGTCGGGCAGCCGAGCAAATCCAGGAAACCAACGGTAACGGTCAGGAAGACTATCAAGGATGTTCAGGTAACGGCAACGCCACGAGTGAGTCGCAGGACGAAGAACATGGTTGAGCAGACGCCTGTGCAACAGCACTACGACCCGTTTGTTCGTTCACCCGGGGAGGAAGCGCCTCATTCGAGCGGCTTTTGTGTACCCTCGTCAGGCGTGAGACCACGGCCTGGGATGGTAGCCGCAAGGGACCAGGGCCATGCAACGGCTCCAAGTCTTGGGCAATCGAGCATTGCCGAGACACCAAGCAAGGCGCCAGCGGGCAAGACCTTTTCATCGGATGCGGTACGCAGGAGAATTTTTGCGACGCCGGCAAAGGCGGCGGAGCCGAATGCGCAGGGCAGAGGGGGTGAGGGGGCGTTGCACATTTTCGAGACGCCAGCCAAAGGTGTAGTAGGGATGTCACCGCCGGAAGAGACTAAGGCCGCGCCGCTAGGAGCTACGACAACGCCCTCAAAGTCTGTTTCGAAGCTGGCCAGTGAGGGCGGGCCAGTCCCCTTCCTCGTGCGGGGACGTGATGATGCGAGCGAGCCATCCATCTATGATGCATTGGGCTGGAACGATGACGACGACGAGGATGATAACGGGTTTGTATAGCAATGCAAGTGTTTGGGGAGATTTGTTTCTGCTGCACGTCGGGCGGGGGTACCTGCATTAGCCGGACATGGGGGAGGATGTGTGCATACATGCTGATGTGTACGCACGTATGAAGTGTGTAGTACATGTGGGTATGTGGAAGTGAGTGCTTAGCAGGCAGCGGTGGGTCACGTGGTCGACAGTAGCGAGAGGCGTTGATCGTGGAGCTCCGGCCCGAAAGGGAGGCGGTCCGCGTGCGCGCCCGGCAATGGTCGTCTGGTGTGTAGTCGCGAATTGCTCGAGGGCTGGATGGACGGACGGACGGGTGGGTGGGCTGGCTTGTCGCGGTGGGTGCAAGGCGAGGCGAGGCGAGGCCCTGGATGGATGGATGGATGGATGAGTGGTGGGAGGCGTTGGGCGGCAGCAATGCACCCACAGCCCGCAAAATGAGCAACATGGGTGGCGCCAATGGGGAGAGGGTGCCTTGCAGCTTTGCACGTGCCCCTGGGAGCTTGGCCCTGCCCACGACGAATCACACGAATCATACAAAGAATCCTCACCGGCTGAGGGGAGACGCAACCGTGCAATTTGGCCGGGGAATCAATCCACTGCTAACCCCTAGCAAGCTGCCCCTAAACATGTCTCCAGGCGTAGACTGGCCCATGCCGCAAACCGTCCACAGCCCTAATCACGCTGACATTATGAAAATCAAGCCCAGGCGCCCAGCATCTTCCGCTTCTCGAGTCCTGTCCCACCTGCTCAACCACTGCCTTTGATTCGCGTCTTGTCTCGCGCTCAAGGAAAAAAAAACGTTGCCTCCCCTCTCCCTCGCCGTCTGCTCGACGAACATGTTCATCAGCACTGCAGCCAAGCCAAGGTAACAGCCCGTCCGCCCCCCCTGCACCCACTCATGGCCGTCACTGCAGCCTCCCGTCCTGCTCTCCCCAGGGGACAGCGCTCCCCGACGCTCAGCGATGCGGGCATGATCCTGCCCGCCCTCGAGGCCGACTACGAGCGCGCAACCTCGCCCATTCCCTTGATTGAGCGTCCGCCTTCGCCATCCGACCTGTACCGGCATGCCGACTCGAGTCCTCGCCGATTAAGTTCAGGACTCCACAGCCGGCGCCGCGCCTCACAACAAATAAGTTTCCCGTCACTATCAGCACAGTCCTCGCTTTCCGCACAGTCCTCGCGCTCGACGCTTCGCAACGCAGCCGATTCAGTCGCTTCCTCCAGGAGCATGACTACCCGTGATCTCATTCTGGCCTCGTCGCCTACCATCCACACTGCTCCCAGCAGCCACTCGCCCGGCAGTTGGCGCGGCCACGACCAGCGCAAAGTCAGTCCCTCGTCCAGCTCAATCTTCACCGAGGATCTCGATCACTGGCCCGGCTTCGACAGCCACGACAATTTCGACGATAGCGGCGTAGATCTCGAAGAGCAGGAGCGACGACACCGCTCAAAGGCTGACACCGACACTGGCGACGCAATGACAGCCAATATCAGTGACGATGAAGACGATCCCTATTCGTCAGCAGCGCTCAGCAGAAGGGCAGAGATCATCCTGGCTAATGCCAAAAAGAGGTTGAATGTACGCCTTGTCCCCAACTTATGCGGTTTTGCATCCCAATTGAGCCAATGCTTATCATAACAGGTCATGGAGGGAAATCTCCGGGGAGCACGAGAGTCATTGGTCACCTCACCCACCTTTAGCCCTAAGGGCGGCCTGTCCTCTGACCTTTCACACCACATGGCAGCCAGCCGCGAGCGTGACCGACGACTTTATGCCGGCATGGGACCGATCCCTCCGCGCCTCTCTTCCTACCGACAGTCGCTACTCACCCCCAATGGCAGCTCTGGCCATTCGCGCAACCTGAGTGAAACATCAGTGCCGCTTCCCTTTACTCTCTCGTACGTGTCGAGAGCCTCGTCAATCAAACGAGCCTCGAGTGCATTCGGTCATACCAGTGGTCCATGGGCGCCAGAGAGCTATGGTCAGGGGCGTTTTCCCATCAAAGAATCCCGAAGCGTAGATCAACTTCGCGACGCACGTAATACCTGGAATACCTCAGAACGCGAGCAAGCTGTACGATCTGCTTCGAGAAGTTCCAAATCTCCGCCCGTGCTAGAAACTCTACGCGAAGACGAAGATGGAGCCAGGATACACCGATCTACATCCGCAGCTAGTGGCCTTCGTGACCAGATGAATGATCTCAGGGGTAGAATCTCGAGTCTGAAGCTGAAAGCACAAGAAGATCACCTTCGGCGGCGCAGTATACAGAGTCTACGTGCACCTAGCCCCTTTACCTCGGCCGACACATGGTATCCTTCATCAAACACATATCGGCCTGAAAGCCCCGTTACTGGAACTACTGGGCTGGGCATCACAACTTCACCGCAAACTCGGACTGGGCTCTATCCCGAAGTCCAGGACCGGCCATTGACTGCTACCACCACAACCTCGCAATTGCACGGAGAGAAACTAGTGACACAGTACAAAGACCAACCCGCAACTACCAGAGGGAATGTATACTCTGGCCGCTCGTACGGAGAGCCCGAGGTCGATTCCGAAGAGTCTGAGGCATATGAGCCGTCCGAGGTAGATGATAGTGACTTCGTTTCAATCTATGGCGAGGACGGGGAGGCTGACCCAGAGAGCGTATACGAGGATGCGGTGTACGAGATGCCTACGACGGAGCGACACGAGGACCGAGTGGATGCATTCGACTACGAAACTTTCTTCCTGCACAGTGCAATGGGAACGTACAGTCTGGGAGACCGTCGGTCCAGCACAAGTTCGGGTACCTCGGTAGCCACGACGCGACCGGTGACGGCTGTTCAGACTGGCGAGGAGCAGAGCAAAGCTGAAAAGCGAGTATCGTTTCACCAACGGAACCCGAGCGCGGACTCGGTATCGACGGTGGCCACATTTGCCACTGCAGCCGAAGAGCAAGACGACGACGATGAGGATGCGAACGAGCAGATGGACCAGTTCTCGCAGCAGATAATGTCCGGTCAATCACGATTACTTTCTCAGCGTATTGGTCGGAACAGCTATTTGTCGCTCCGGTCCGACTCGGCGATCAACATGCGCAGTAGCGGCATCTCCCCTCCTCAGTCATCACTATCTCGGGGCTCGCCTTCACCAGCCGAGTTTGCCAGCGGCCTGCAAACGTCCAAACTCTTCTCCATCTTGACGGAAAATTCAAGAGACGAGCCACGGATTGCGCTCAGCGACGAAGAGACGCAGCTGGTGTACGGCGTTGCTGCAGGCATCCAACACGTATGCTCGCAGCTACAGAGCACGTACGGCGAGGCGTACGAGCGCAAGGCATGGCGACGAAGACTTGACGAAGCGCGCAAGATTCTCATGGGCGAGGACCTGGAAGACGGCCAAACTTGTTGAGAGCAGGCGCGTTCACTTACTTGAATCTCTTTTTGTGTTTCCAAACTACATGGTAATGTCTAACTTGGATGCTGCGACTTAGCGTAAGGTCGGACCCTGTCCCCCCACGAGCCCCTCTGGATATCACGTATAATCTCGTCGACATTTTTTTTGCAGTCGTCGTATGTCTTGCTTTTAGCGTTGCAGATACTCTTCTCCTTCTTCGTCTTATTTTTTTCTTCTCATTCTTCTCTTTGTATTGATTTCTCTTATTCTTCTTTCAAAACACACTTTGGCAGATTTGCTTGCATCTCCTTTGAGAGGTCACGACTCTAGATGGTTTCTTTCCTTTGTGTATTGATACCCCGAGGCGGGCGCGGGGTCACGAGCTCCGGTGTAGGTGGACATACAATTTTTTTCTTCTTGTTCTGCGTTTGTGGCCGAGAGTAAGCTCTAAAGCTGGTAGCTCGTAAGAGGGAGCTCTAGAAGGCTGACACACGGCTGTCATGCATGCACGTAGGGCTACCAAACCAATCTAAAAAAATGCTCTACTGTTCCCCCAGCGCATTGGGCTTGACCGTGATTGTAGGCTAGGCTCCGATCAGAAGTGATCAGAAGGCTGAGGAACGATGGTGTGGAGCTGGTGACGAAGGCAGGCGGCCTTCTAGTGTGCGGTTGCCGCCCCACCAAACGGAGCCAAGAAGTCGTCATGCTGGGCCGAGGGAGGCGGAGGGACGGGAAGACATTACTCTACATATGCAGCGTCTGGCCGACAGTGCGCTGTCGACGTACACCTGGTGTAGAGTAGCGGTAACACGGGGCCAGCCATAGTGGCCAGACGGGCGCGCGGCATGCACGTGTGGCAGGCGTGCAGCTTGTGCCGCAGTCGGCGAAGGGTGCTGGCGGGGTGGTTGGATTGGGTGAGGGCTTGGAGGGGTGGCGGGTGTACTAGACTATGTAGAGAGGACTGGCGGTGTAGCGCAACAGATGGGACGGAAGCTTGCCAGCATCACCCAATACCCACATCGCCCTCCGCAATTGGCCCACACGGCCAGCATGGCTGGGAGTCGTCCTAGACGGTAACTGCTGCGCGCACCGGGCGCCTCCAAACACACGCACGCATACGCACACGCACTCGCAGAGTCTTGCTCGACCCATCTCCCCCATGGCCGCTTGCACTACACCCTGGGCCTGACCCGTCCGATTTCCTTTCACGAGCCGAATAACTTGGCCTCTGCCGCCCGCATCGCGCATCGCATCGCGCGCATCACTCTTTCCCTGCATCCGCCCAAACTAACCCACTCACTTTTCTCGTGATACTACCTGGCCCCCTCAATCCCCCCCCGGGCCCCTCTTATACACAAAGACTACATACAAACTCTCGCACGCACGAACCCACACGCACACAGATCCGACCCCTCATTTTTGGATTTTTCCGCCTGCTGGCCCGGGCGCGTGTGTGTGTGACGAGGTGGATGAAACGCTCCGCAACCTCCAACAGGCTTGGTGCGCCCAGCCGAGGGGAGGCCATTCGACGCCGATAGCGATTGGCGTTTGCGGAAACACATCCTACACCCACCACACAGTCCTTGTGACCACTCGCGACGTCTGTTCCCCTGCTTTTTTGCCTCTGCCGCGCTACATCTCTGCCCGCCCGTCGCGTACCTTTTGGTCTGTCTATGCCCGTCGCCTGTGCTCTGCGCCGGTCTGCATAGCCATACTCGCCTTGTTGAGGCCCGGCCGTGTGTTTACATACAGGCCTAGGGCGGGATTGCCGTGGCTACCACCGTTCCCTACTTGCGACTACTATTTCCAAATACCACTACTATTAGCACTACTAAAGCTGGGCGCAGCGAGCCCCTGCAGCAGCATAATCACCAGCAAAGTCACGCTGCATCCTGCCTGCCTCCGCCTCCTCCACAGCAACACTCGCCGCTTTCGCCCTCGTCCTCCTGCCGCTCGCCTCTTGCGGTCTCGCACAAGCTCTCATGTGCTTACCTCCGCCGTGCTCCTCCCACTTGCGCCTCTCATACTCGCATAATGTCTCCTATCAGCTCTCGTCGCGCCGTCGCCGTCGCGCCACCCGCAAAACAAAAGACCCTGCCGCTTTCGAGGATTGGATCGGCTGAACATTTTTGGGGCGGGAAGAGCGAAATCTTGGAAGTAGCAAATGCTTGGCCCACAAGCACCTACAGCGCTGGGGACATGACATCATGCGAGTCTGGAAATGACCGTCGCATGGGCGAATTCATAGACGATTTGGAGTTTGCGCTCGATAG